AGGGGGGGGGGGGGGAGAGGGAACAGATGGAAGAAAAAATGTGGGGTACTCAGCACTTCTCTAGACAACATTTCATTGCAATTAACTTGCTAAACTTAGTTCTTCTTCTTGTCCCTTTTTGCTTGTTTTTTAATTATGTAAAACAGATTTCACCGAAAATTCAGAGTTGGATGTTCTGATTTCAACCAGGTTACTGAGAAACAGATTCTGCTCCCTCTAATTTTTAACACACACACACACACACCCCCGCAAAAAAAAAAAAAAAAAGTTCTGTCTGGATTCAAATTCAAAGAAGCACAAATAAGATTGCAGAATAATGTGAAGGGCATTTTTTAAAGAGAGATGGAGCAAAAAAGAGAACCTACGTTCTTTCTTGACCAGCCATTCACATTTTGCCAGGCTCCCAGACCAGAAGACTGCTTGCTATATATTTGAGTTCCTGTTTTTCACAGAGAACAAGGTAAGATTAATTACTCAGGAAAGTGAAGATCAAATATCACAGCAAACTGGGAGGCAAGTAAGTACCTGATTTATTCATGTGAACCCCAACAACAACAACAGACATTTCAAAGCTGAGGCTGATTCAAAAAATGAGAATTGTCTTGCTGGAATGGACATCCCATTTCCAAACAGTAGCCAGCTATTTTGGCATCACAATACACAGCAGTGTTTACCCTCCACCTCAAGTAATTAGATATGCACTGCCTCTGTCCACAGAGGCTCCACACTGCTAACGTGTCTATTAGCAATGAAGAGAAACTGATCGCACTAAGTCCTATTCTGCCTGCTTTCCAAAAAACCATTAAAACTTCTATCAAATGCAAGAGAGAGATGGCTCATACAGAAATGTTCTCGAAAATAACTCCATTTACTTTTCCTTTTAAAAAAAAAGACTTTCTCCCTGTTAATATTGTTAATAAATAACACTTTTATATGTAAGAACAGGTATAGTGTGCTCTTAAAGGATTCTGGAAGTAAGGCATGCTTCAAAAAATGGTCAGGCCAGATTTCATAAATGAAGAGCCAAGGCTGGGAAAAGCTTCAACAGAAGAAGGCAAAAGGCAGAGAAAGAGAAGGACATTATGTCTTGCAGATATTTCCCCCGCACCCCCACACCCAAAAATACAGCCTAATCAACTAATTTCACACACATTCTTTATTGTGATCAACCTGCGTGCAATGTGGTGAACACAAGCGACGGAAGGACCTAGAACTCTGTGAACCAAACTTTATGCATGCAGTTCAGTGCCATCAAGTTGGTCACTCTTTCTATGGCCATACGGTAATGTGACAGGCTGGTTTTGTGTAGGATACCTTCTTATTGGTTTTGCTGTTAAACAGAAATATATATCACTGCAAACCAATGCAGCACTTCCATCGTGCCCTTCATTTGCAAAAAGGACTCCTGGCCTCATCCAGGCCCACAGACATTTCTCAGAAAAACTGCTGGGGGGGCAAAGCTTTCTTTACAAGGGTGTCCATCTGCCCATAAGACAAAGGCCAGTTCAGGTGGTAAAAAAGTATCTTGGAGGGTTTGTCTCTAAGGGAAGAGGTATCTCTGAAGGGCCTTACCTCCTATGGGAACCACTTTGTGAGTGGATGGTCTCCTCCCAGGCAGCCATTTTGTGAAAGCAGCCACACTGGGTGCTCAGAATTTCAGTATGCCCCTTGGCTGAAAAGATAAGGGTCTCGAGCTTTAGGAGGCATGCATCTTCAAACTTGAAAATTTGAAAAGTCTTAGCTGATAATCCAAAGTCAGTCAAGACCAACTCCCGGTGTCTTCCTGAACCCATCCACATTTTCTTGAGAAAACTCTGTGGACTTGCCCAGGCAGTCGCCAGGAGTCAAGACTGATCTGCACGCATGCACACAGAGAAACAGGCTACCGCTGCCTTCTTTCAGGATTTATCAGATTCCCCATCCAACTGGAATTCCCTAAGGTTCTCCCATCTAAGCATTAACCCGTCTAAGCCTGCTTAGCTTTTTCTTGAGATCAGGCAAAGTTGATGAGGAACATGTTTCCACCCTGATATACTGACTAAAGTGCTTGACTAGAAACAGAGAGACTCAAGTTTAAGTCCACCCTAAATTCTGGAAACCCGCTGGAAGTCTTTGGGCAAGTCATTCTCTCTCAGTCCAACCTATCCTACAGGGTAGTCAGTCATACACTGCCTAGAGCTCCCAGAGAAAAGTTGGGATATAAATCTAACAAATACATTAAACTGGCAGCTCACTTGCAAGGGCTGCAATCTAACTTTCAGACACTTCGACATTTTGGTAACTCTGATATGAAATACAGTCCTGATCTAGTGAACCTCTAAGCAAGTCCTGATGTAACCCTGCTTTCGCACAACATGTACTTCCCTATTTGCTTGTCATATAGAGTTGGTTTCTTTAACATGGGGATCTTAACTCTGCAAACACAGCTGTGCTCAGCATTTAAACTTAACTAATGAGTTTCAAACAGATTCATTATCACTAAAGCCCTACCGTGGCCCTCCTTGCAAATCTGTTGTGTCAGCAGCTTCGGATGATAAAAAAACTCATGCAATTTATGAGCTATTTTTAAAAAGGAGGATACCAAACAAGTGTACAATCCTGTTCATGCTGAGAAAATCGAGTTTGGGATGCCAAGGGAGTTCACATGTACCTGTTCTGGAAGCACCTGTGGTACAGCCATAGCTAGCTTCTAAACTGTAGAGCAGCCTGGTGTGCAGGTCTGAAGAGCGAGCTCTGGCAGATGCAGAGTCTCCAATGCACTTTGCCAATAGAGGACTCAACAGAATATACAAGACATATCTGCTATCCAGAGTAACTCCACAGAATTAATATCAAAGGGAAACAAGATAGACATAGAATGGAAAAACCACAGGAAATGTTTATATCACTGGAAATAGCCGTCAACATGGAAAAACATATGCAAAGGGCTTTGAGGTTGGAGCAATTCCACATCTCATGTTAACCGAGGTTACAGCTTTTGCATGAAAGAAAAATAAATGGGACAGTTAGGCAGCGATCTCTTGGACAGATCAACGGATCCAATTCCATTGTGGTGTTGAAAACCTAAGACAAACAAACCTAAATGCCTCTGCAAAATACATGACTGTGAATCCTCACATTTTTAGGAGAGCCCCAGAATTTTCTTTCAGGCCATATTCATCAGGGTAAAAGGAAAACACTGAATTCTGAGATGGATAGGAAGAGTTTCATAAGTGAGGCAGTAAAAAAGAGCCTCTCATTTTCAACCCAAGATAGTCAAAGAGATACACAGAGTCCAAATTAGCAGCTCCAGTTAAAGCGAGAAAAGATAGCAGATTACACTGTGGTTCAGAGCCATTTTATTTAAAAGAAATGAATGGGGTGTGCACTTGGTCTGATGCATGAATAGTAAGAATTCCTGAATGCTTAAGACAACTCACAGTGCAATCTTACACACTTTTGCTCAACAGTGACTCTGCGTTCAAAGGATGGCTCTAAAAATCAGATGTCGAAGGTGAAATCCCCAAGTGATGGAAATGGACATGAAGCCCCCCCCCCCCAGATCTGTGCCTTGAAATAGGATGTCAAGCTCCCTGTCCCCCCCCAACAACAGACTTGCACTGTTGCAC